CGAGTGACATTTGGAGACCAGCATAAACAAAAAAAAAAGCAAAAAAAAGTAACAAGGAAGTTTAACCCAGAAGAAGAATTTGAGACAAGATGACATATTATCGTCAACTGCAAAAAAAATCGCAAAAAAACACGCCAATACCGACAATTATAACTAAAATTATCAACTCGTAAAAAAACTTCCATTTAGAGAGAGAAGAGTCACATTATATACCCTGAGTATATAATATAGTTACTATCGTATAGTGGCTATAATAACCACCCCTCCCCCCCTCCCCCCTGGTATAACCACAACATCAAAACTATACAAACACGTAGTTATATAAGCAAAACTAACAACCGTTGCTAATAACCAAACAGCATATCGAAATGCCAAGTTCGGGGAATCCAATCCTTATCTTGGTAATAAGATCGTCAAATATTTTCTTCCTGGGTACTCAAGACGAAGTTTTTGTCCACCCTCCCTGTCCACCCCCCCCCCACCCCCTCGAGGGCACATCCAGGTAGTTGTCTTCCTGGTGGCTCGTGACTTCGATGTTAGGTGATATCTTCGATGTTAGCTGATGTCTTCGATGTCTTCGATGTTAGGTGATGTCTTCGATGTCTTCGCTGTTAGCTGATGTCTACGTTGTTAGGCAATGTCTTAACTGACTTCTGAGTTGATAACACAGTGCGTTACCTACCGAGCGAGCACAGGACCCCTATAGCGAAGCCCCGCGCGCCCCCTGGTGTGAGTAACGGGAGGCCGGACGCCAGACTTCGAAGCGACGAAATATAGATCCCTATTTACGTGTATTTTCTCCTCCTATATCTCCTGCTGGAGGAGCTGAGCCCTCCGCTGGGGGCACCCTCCCTCACGCTGGGCCACCGATGGGGACGGGTCGTTCGACGCGTGGCCGAGGGAGGATTGACTAGGCGGGAATCCTTGCAATTGTTCGCGTCTGTTCACCAAGCAGTAACTGGATACGTGGGAGTAAAACAGGTTGACGGGGTAGCATTTTAAGGTTAAAACTTGTAAGGTAATACTTACCGTAAGCTTCGGGAAGGGAAAGTTCTCACTCTACTGAAGGAACTCAGAAGGCGGCGTCTGTTCCTCCACTTACCTGAGTAAAAAAAAATAAAAAAAACATTATCAATAACAAGAGTAATATTTACCTGAATTTACCTGAGCCTAATCTTTCTAATGGCCTCGACGGAGACAGAAAGCTGGCGGTTTGTCAAAGGTCGTCACTTTGTTCCTAAGTCAAATTCATGAGGGTTGAATATTTGACAGATCTTTATGGATAAATCAACACAGCGAGACGCTCTTCTCGGTGAGAAAAACTGATGCAACTGAAAATATGTTTATAATTTTTTTTTCGTTTGGATAAATAAACACGTTGTGGGATCAGGTGGCTTTGGTACAGCATGGCTATGACGAGAGCATATAGCGTTATGTACATATCATGTCAGCATATATGTGTATGGATGTACATATGATGTTAGCATGTGTGTATGGATGTACATATGATGTAAGGATATATGTGTATGGATGTACATATGATGTCAGCATGTGTGTATGGATGTACATATGATGCAAGGATATATGTGTATGGATGTACATATGATGTCAGCATGTGTGTATGGATGTACATATGATGCAAGGATATATGTGTATGGATGTACATATGATGTCAGCATGTGTGTATGGATGTACATATGATGCAAGGATATATGTGTATGGATGTACATATGATGTCAGCATGTGTGTATGGATGTACATATGATGCAAGGATATATGTGTATGGATGTACATATGATGTCAGCATGTGTGTATGGATGTACATATGATGCAAGGATATATGTGTATGGATGTACATATGATGTTAGCATGTGTGTATGGATTGTACATATGATGTTAGCATGTGTGTATGGATGTACATATGATGCAAGGATATATGTGTATGGATGTACATATGATGCAAGGATATATGTGTATGGATGTACATATGATGTCAGCATGTGTGTATGGATGTACATATGATGTCAGCATATGTGTATGGATGTATATATGATGTCAGCATATGTGTATGGATGTCAAGTGAGACCTCTGGTCCAGATAGGTTGTGTACAGTACACTCTAAGCAACCAATATCGCAAAATATCATGAAGGATTTCGTGGAAATACGCTGTGTTCTGAGGACTCGAAGTGGACTCGAAGTGGACTCGAAGTGGACTCGAAGTGGACTCGAAGATGAAACAACGTGTTCTTCACCGGGAGGAAGCGAGTATAGCAAGTCCTCGTCTTGGAGACTCACAAAACGACAAGGAACTTAAGAAATACCTTTCACATCTTTCGTGAAGACCTCCAATACAACACAACATCTGCTTTGGCGGAGGAGAGGCGTGTGGGGCGGCGGGGGAGGGGAGAAGACGACGCATTAATCACCCATAAAAGCAGCAAGTAAGCGCATTTCGGCTGTAGGTGCTCCCCAGGCGAGGTACTTACATAGAACTTTTTGTGCCAGAGACAAGAACCAACAGCAGGTTGCGTCGCTTTCCAGGGGCGGGAATCGGCGACACCGTTACCAGTATGAGTGACATTATGGCTGAAAATGGGAACAGACTCTGTATTTGAAGTAAGGAATGAAGTAGGAAGAGTTGGCAGTGAAGTACTGATACAGAGGTTTCAGACAGGATTAGTTAGGAGCAAGGTAGGGGGATTCAGATCCTATGTTGCATTCTTCCAAGACGAGGAGAGGGGGCAATGAATAGCTGTATAGAGGACTTTCAACTAGACAAATGTGTAAATGAAATGCAATATCATTCATTGACAACTGGATATAAATCGAAATTGCCTCGTATGGGCCAAATAGGCCTACTGCAGTTTCCTTATTTCCTATGTTCTTACGTTTTTATGTATGAGTAGGAATGTTTCGGAGCATGGATGTATACGACTGTGAATGTGTATGCATATGGATATGTATGTGTATGAATTTGTGTATATAGTCTCCCCGACCTTCAACCTCGTTCCATCCTCGACCCATAATCCACGCTATCCACATCCTTCAGCTTGCCGGATGTAGCCAGCTCCAAGGGCCACCTTATACTTAATCCTCTCAATACACACTTCCCTCAAGGTGAAGACTAGGTCTAGTGGCGTTCGTCCCTCTTCACTCTCTCTACTTCCCCTCCCTTGTTAATCTTTACACTGTGGCCTTCTGGAGATAATACTTATCAGCTCTCTCCACCAATATTTCCTGTCTTCTTCCCTCTGGTAATATTCCTCGTGGGTCTAGTCAATATACGTGAGTTAAATCTCCAATTAGCATGAATTTTTTTGTTATCCCCACTAGCAATGTGGTCGCACTTTCAATGACTGTCAGAAAGTTTCTGTTGCTGTCTAACTTTTGCCTTGGGACACATGTGTTTGGACAGGTGATGCACTTGGAGGGTTTTCTTGATGTTAATTACTTGATATATCCTTGTTTACAACACTCTTATGCTGCAGTTTACCACTGGGGAGCTGTGTTCCTGTGAAGGGTAGAGAGACGGGATCGCTTCATGCAGGTTGGCGTTCAATCCCCGACCGTCCACAAGTGGTTGGGCACCATTCCTTGCCCACCCCCCCGTCCCATCCCAAATCATTGTCCTGATCCCTTCCCAGTGCTATATTGTCGTAATGACAATATAGGGTCGTTTGTCGTTGTCGTTACGCTGTAATTGGGTCCACAAATCAACAACCTTGTTATCAAACCAGTATTTACCCAGGTCTTTCCTAAATCTAAACTTTTTCTAATTTATACCCATTGTTTCTTGTGTTGTCTTGTGTTGTTACATGACTATTAATATCCCCTTTGTTATGGCCATTCATCCACTTATGCACCTCTATCATGTCACCCATAATTCTTCGCCTTTCTAAAGAATGTAAGTTAACCTTTGTCAATCTTTCTTCACATGACAGGTTTCTAATTTGCGGGATTAACTTTGTCTTCCTACACTGGACGCGTTCTATTGAATTTATTTACATTCTATAATACGGGGACCAAAATTGACCTGCATAATCTAAATGGGGCCTAACCAGAGCAAGATATAGCTGAAGAACAACACCTGGTGTCTTATTAGTAACGCTTCGAGGAATAAATCCCAGTGTCTTATACTGTATATTGTATACTGTATATTTATAATGTATATTTATAATGTATATTTATAATGTATATGTACTGTATATGTATCTCTTTCACACACTCACATTCCCAGGATGAAGCCCGCAACAGCTGTCTAACACCCAGGTGTCTGTTTACTTCCAGGTGAACAGAGGTAGCAGGTAAAAATATTCTGCCCATTTGTTTTTGCCTCGTTCGGGAATCGAACTGGGGCCCGTGGTCTGCATATATGCGTATTTGTGCCCGAATGGTGTTGCTTGTTAGGGGAAGCTTGTGAGTTATGTGTATGTGTATGTATGTGTGTGTATGTGTACACATACCCCATCCTGTGTACGTGGGAGACACAGGGGAGTGGTTATCTTGAGGTGATTTCGGGGCTTTATTGTCCCCGCGGCCCGGTCCTCGACCACGCCTCCACCCCCCAGGAAGCAGCCCGTGACAGCTGACTAACACCCAGGTACCTATTTCACTGCTAGGTAACAGGGGCATAGGGTGAAAGAAACTCTGCCCATTGTTTCTCGCCGGCGCCTAGGATCGAACCCAGGACCACAGGATCACAAGTCCAGCGTACTGTCCGCTGCTGGTGTACGAACGTGTCCAACCTGTTCTGTATACATGTGAGCGTGGTCCCACCTTCTGCCGAGTCCATGCCAGATTTTACAATCAGGTTTTCTGCCTCCCCAAAAAATAAGTAGAAAAAATACAGGAAGCAAAGAGGTCCCAATATCCTGACACAGGTATATACATTACCCGCCGCCACCAGTCACAGGGATATACGAATATGGCAACTGCGAATGTTGCGGCACATGTGTGTGTGTATATATATATACGTAGCGCGGCGCAAGACGGCACTCAGTGTGCGGCTGTGATCTCAAGTGGCAGGGGCCCGCTGGCCAGGCATTGTGTTCAAACTTCTTAGGGAAATGTGATTCTTCAATATTTGAAAAAAAAATCCTTGTATGGGTATTTTGATTGAGTGTCTTGCCTGAGAATTGAAAGCAGAAACATCGGATGTTCCACTGACGTTTTCGGCTCAGTCTCGCGCTGCTGAGGACTGCGTTTCGAACCAAGGGCATCACTGGGTTCACACGGACACCCCACCCGACGTTGACCAGTAAATGCAAGACGGTTTGGCTGCTAGAGAAGGCTAACTACCTACACTCCAAGACCGTAGTTGCAGGCGACAGAGAGCCACACCAACAGGCAACAGAGAGCCACACCAACAGGCAACAGAGAGCCACACCAACATTCCCGTGTTGCCAGCTAAGAGGGAAAGTGCTTTACAAGTGACCGAGGTGAGCACTTAGTGAAGTGGACTCGTGTCAGTATTGTTGTGGCTTGTGTTTTTGGCCTGTTGGTAGGTTAGATATCGGTATACGCCAGTCTGTTTCTAGGTGTGGGTTAGTGTATGCCTCTAAGTGTGGGTTAGTGTATGCTTCTAGGTGTGGGTTAGTGTATGTCTCTAGATGTGGGTTGGAGTATACCTCAAGGTGTGAGTTGGGGTGTGCATGTAGGTGTGGGTTAGGGTATGCCTCTAGGTGTGGGTTAGTGTATGCCTCTAGGTGTGGGTTGGGGTATGCCTCTAGGTGTGGGTTGGGGTATGCCTCTAGGTGTGGGTTAGGGTATGCCTCTAGATGTGGGTTAGTGTATGCCTCTAGGTGTGGGTTGGGGTATGCCTCTAGGTGTGGGTTGGGGTATGCCTCTAGGTGTGGGTTAGGGGTATGCCTCTAGGTGTGGGTTGGGGTATGCCTCTAGGTGTGGGTTAGTGTATGCCTCTAAGTGTGGTTTAGTGTATGCCCCTAGGTGTGGGTTAGTGTATGCCTCTAGGTGTGGGTTAGTGTATGCCTCTAGGTGTGGGTTAGTGTATGCCTCTAGGTGTGGGTTAGTGTATGCCTCTAGGTGTGGGTTAGTGTATGCCTCTAGGTGTGGGTTAGTGTATGCCTCTAGGTGTGGGTTAGTGTATGCCTCTAGGTGTGGTTTAGTGTATGCCTCTAGGTGTGGGTTAGTGTATGCCTCTAGGTGTGGGTTAGTGTATGCCTCTAGGTGTGGGTTGGGGTATGCCTCTAGGTGTGGGTTGGGGTATGCCTCTAGGTGTGGGTTGGGGTATGCCTCTAGGTGTGGGTTAGTGTATGCCTCTAGGTGTGGGTTGGTGTATGCCTCTAGGTGTGGGTTAGTGTATGCCTCTAGGTGTGGGTTAGTGTATGCCTCTAGGTGTGGGTTAGTGTATGCCTCTAGGTGTGGTTTAGTGTATGCCTCTAGGTGTGTGTGTGTGTGTATATATATATATATATATATATATATCGTACCTAGTTGCCAGAACGCACTTCTCAGCCTACTATGCAAGGCCCAATTTGCCTAATAAGCCAAGTTTTCATGAATTAATTGTTTTTCGGCTACCTAACCTACCTAACCTAACCTAACCTAACTTTTTCGGCTACCTAACCTAACCTAACCTATAAAGATAGGTTAGGTTAGGTTAGGTAGGGTTGGTTAGGTTCGGTCATATATCTACGTTAATTTTAACTCCAATAAAAAAATTGACCTCATACATAATGAAATGGGTAGCTTTATCATTTCATAAGAAAAGAATTGGAGAAAATATATTAATTCAGGAAAACTTGGCTTATTAGGCAAATCGGGCCTTGCATAGTAGGCTGAGAAGTGCGTTCTGGCTACTAGGTACGATATATATATATATATATATATATATATATATATATATATATATATATATATATATATATATATATATATATATATATATATATATATATATATATATATATATATATATATATATATATATATATATATATATATATATATATATATATATATATATATATATATATGCTCTCTTACACAGATGTCATGACAGGTCGTGAGATCAGTACAAAATATACGCACGTAATATCACCCAGCGACCAGGGGCCAGATTCACGAAGCAGCTACGCAAATACTTACGAACGTGTACATCTTTTCTCAATCTTTGGCGACTTTGTTTACAACTATTAGACAGTTAATGAGCTCCGAAGCACCAGGAGACTGTTTATAACAATAACAACAGATGATTGGGAAGTTTTCATGCTTGTAAACTGTTTAATAAATGTAAACAAAGCCGCCAAAGATTGAGAAATGATGTACACGTTCGTAAGTACTTGCGTATCTGCTTCGTGAATCTGGCCAACAGGTCGTGAGATCAGTAGCATACACGCACTCGACATCACCCAGCGACCTGGCCAACAGGTCGTGAGATCAGTAGCATACACGCACTCAACATCAACCAGCGACCTGGCCAACAGGTCGTGAGATCAGTAGCATACACGCACGCAACATCACCCAGCGACCTGGCCAACAGGTCGTGAGATCAGTAGCATACACGCACTCAACATCAACCAGCGACCTGGCCAACAGGTCGTGAGATCAGTAGCATACACGCACACAACATCACCCAGCGACCTGGCCAACATGCATTTTGTTTATGTCTGGTCGCGTCGTCATTCTAGTTACTGGTGTTTAATTCTCCCGACAGGTGAATGTGACCTCGTATGGTTAATCCTCCAGGCAGGAGATCGTCCTTGTGTGTGTGTGTGGGTTTTTGGGTTGGATTTTGAGCGTAATTCAGAAAGTACTGTGTCGTTAACTTTGCTTAGAGTCCCCACGATGCTGTGTTATGCGTTCATTTATAATAAATGGTGTTTAGGTGTGTATATTGTACAGCATAGTTCTCTCACTGTTCTGTACTACAGACCAGTGAGTCTGTACTATATGTGCTCCTGTAAAAATAATAAAAACAGTGATATTTAATTTAAAAAAAATTGTCCGAAAGACCGGTTTCGGCACTCTACCTTAACACCCCCTCCCTACCCTACCCTTTCCCATCCAGGAACCCTCCCATCCCTTACCCATCCCTTACTCATCCCCCCAAGTCGTCGCATCTCCGTTTCTTTCCTACCTTCGTCCGCCTCCCAGGCCTCACACACACATTATATATATATATATATATATATATATATATATATATATATATATATATATATATATATATATATATATATAGAAAACGTTGAAATACATAGAAAACGTTGTTTGATACATGATGAGTTTACTGTAGGTCATTCCTCTTCAGGATGACCCCAACGCCGAACGTCCGGAAGTCCAGCCATGGAGACCTGAACTTCGGGAGGGAGAGCTTTCAGCAACGTCCCGTGAACTTCGAAGGCCACGAAGGTCCCCTTCGAACGGGCTTCGAAGGCCACGAGAAAATCCCCGAAGGCTACCAGAAGTCAGAACCTAGCAGCCGGATTACAGAGCCGAGCAGCCAAAGAGTCCCCAATGGATTGTCAGCAGGGTTGGACTTCAGACAGCGGCCCTCGGGGATCACAGGTAAGGGAGTTGCGCCTGTGTAACCAATTCAGTGAGAACTGAAACTCTGACTCGTCAGAGTTTCGTTTTGGAGGTTTTGAGAGCCTCTTTTTGGAGGTTTTGAGAGCCTCGTTTTGGAGGTTTTGAGAGCCTCGTTTTGGAGGTTTTGAGAGCCTCGTTTTGGAGGTTTTGAGAGCCTCGTTTTGGAGGTTTTGAGAGCCTCGTTTTGGAGGTTTTGAGAGCCTCGTTCTTTTGGACGAGGCTCTCAGAGTCTCCAAAACTATCGGACTTAATACATAAGTGTATAATAAAGTATATATGTTCAAATCAATGCAACATCCTAGCAATGAACCTAATCTAAGCTTTCCTTTGTCGAATTACAGGCCTTCCTAGGCTTAATATAAACAATCTTATGCCTAATTTAGTATATATATGTACTATACAAAAGAGACGAGGTTTAGTTGTGGCTAAACATAAACAATATGCTAAACATAAAATATAATCCTGCCTATGTTTTGACGGTGGGGGGGGGGATGGTGGATGGGTATACCCAGATCCATTATGTGTACATACACTCCACAGTGGCTCTGTGTACCACCATTTTTGGAGTATACGGTTCATAATGAATTCATATCCATGGAATAGTTCAGGGAAAACATCTCAACATTGCTCTCTGAAGTTTATCGGATATCACTATCACTCTCTGATGTTAATCAGATGTCACTCTAACATTTACAAGCTGGGATTTTTAATTGTTGTTTACACACATCAGTAAAATGAGAGAGTTTAAAACTTGGTAATAAAAGTACACAGAAATAAAGTGCGTAGGCATAATTATAATTATTATAAATGTATTGATGTATTAAATGCTCCCTCACACACACACACACACGTCTTAATAAAATTCTAACATATGGGTTAGAATTTAATACACACACACACACACACTACGTGTATAGCATACAGATCATACGTCAGCCCCACAGTTGTATTTTTACGTCTGGTCATCAGGAGTCTCATTAACATTTTACGCGTCTAAGTGTTTCTAAAGTATTTTTAGATTTAGAAACCGTAAACCCGTTTTAGAGTTCTAATTTATCCCAATCCTGGCTTATAAGTTTATCCTTAAAACCTATAATATTGAATGAATGGTTTAATTTATCAGCTAAAGTGGTAATAGCATAAAATTACTGTTATTAGGGTCTTTAAAGTGAATTGTGGAACGGAGAAGAGTATGTAAGGGAAGGGGGAGAAGGAAAGGGAGGAGAGGGAGAGGAGAGAGAGAGAGAGAGAGAGAGAGAGAGAGAGAGGGGTAGAATTTTTTTTTTTGTTATCCAGACTTCCGTAGAAATAGACATTCTATTCACCTGAACTCTCGGTGAGTTCAGAGAGTCCACTGTTCGGTGAGTCCACTCCAAGAAATAAGGAACCTCTCCTTATTAAGACCACTCAATAGCTCGGTCGATAGAGCTTAATCGGCCTCGCAGACGTGTGGGGTTCACGATTCAGGTCTCTTAAGAGCCCAGGTGAATGGAAGGAAAAAATGTTGATGTCTTGGGTTAGATTATAGCGATGAAGGGAGAATCGTGTGTGTAAGTGTGAATGAACGTGAGTGTGTGAGTGTGTGAGTGTGTTGAGTGTGTGAGTGTGTGAGTGTGTGAGTGTGTGAGTGTGTTGAGTGTGTGAGTGTGTGAGTGTGTGAGTGTGTGAGTGTGTTGAGTGTGTGAGCGTGTGAGTGTGTGAGTGTGTGAGTGTGTGTGTGTTGAGTGTGTGAGTGTGTGAGTGTGTGAGTGTGTGAGTGTGTTGAGTGTGTTGAGTGTGTTGAGTGTGTTGAGTGTGTGAGTGTGTGAGTGTGTGAGTGTGTGAGTGTGTGAGTGTGTTGAGTGTGTTGAGTGTGTTGAGTGTGTGAGTGTGTGAGTGTGTGAGTGTGTTGAGTGTGTGAGTGTGTTGAGTGTGTGAGAGTCTCCTCACTACTCATCTGGCCGCTACACCTTTATATAACGGACTAACAAGCTCACACACAAAAAATAAGTCTTTTTTACAAATGATGTAACTACTTGATGTGGTTACCCGGCGGTGCCCGGGTCGGGTTAAAAAAACATTTATTTTTTTTTATAGAAATAGATGATTTGTAGATTTTTTTTATTATTGTTTAGCAGTCATTGTAAACTAAACTCAAGCACAAGACGAAGCTGGAAAAAGTTCAGAGGTATGCCACTAGGCTAGTCCCAGAACGAAGAGGCATGAGTTACGAGGAAAACCTGCATGAAATGCACCTCACGATACTGGAAGACAGAAGAGTGAGGGGAGACATGATCACTACCAACAAAATTCTCAGAGGAATTGACAAGGTAGCTAAGGATAAACTGTTTAACACTGGTGGTACGCGAACAAGGGGATACAGGTGGAAACTGAGTGCCCAAATGACCTACAGAGATGTTAGAAAGAAATTGTTCAGTGTCAGAGTAGTTAACAGATGGAATGCATTAGGCAGTGATGTGGTGGAGGCTGACTCCATACACAGTTTTAAATGTAGATATGATAGAGCCCAGTAGGCTCAGGAATCTGTACACCAGTTGATTGACGGTTGAGAGGCGGGACCAAAAGGCCAGAGCTCAACCCCCGCAAGCACAATTAGGTGAGTACACCAGCAGGAGCTCACACACCTGCAAGCGCTCACACTCCAGCAAGCGCTCACACACCAGCAGGCGCTCACACACCAGCAGGCGCTCACACACCAGCAGGCGCTCACACCAGCAGGCGCTCACACACCAGCAGGCGCTCACACACCAGCAGGCGCTCACACACCAGCAGGCGCTCACACACCAGCAGGCGCTCACACACCAGCAGGTGCTCACACACCAGCAGGCGCTCACACACCAGCAGGCGCTCACACACCAGCAGGCGCTCACACTGGCTCGCGCGTGCACAAGCATTCCTTGTGCCACACTCACCGGAGAGGCGACGAGCTCAGTGCTCCGAGACACACGACCAGCATATTGAGCAGCAGGGTGGCCCCGGGGGCTGACTGTGCACTGGTCCTGAACACCTACTGTTCATAATGCTCAACTACGCTCCCTTCCCCCCCCCTTCACCATTACCCCTACCACCATAACCCCCCCGCACTATCACCACCACTACCACCACCACACTCATCACTACAACCACCGGTGACATCACAGACATACCACAACAACAATTACTGACGTAAATATCAGGTTTTTCCTTGACGAAGGTACTCGGTGGGAAGCCTGGCAGGCAGGCAGGTAGGGAGGGAAGGTGTTAGGCAAGCAGACAAGGAGGCAAGGGGGCAGGAAGGTAGGCAAAGTGGCAGAGAGGGGTACAAAGGGGTAGGGAGAGAGGCAAAGGGGGGGGGGGATGAATGAGACGCCGAGACAGCCGATCCTTCACTCTATAAGAGATCTAGAGGAGAATGACAGCTCGAAATAAATTTGTAAATAAACAATTTGATCTACGTCGTAGTGAAACGAATGACGCCCCGTAACAACGGAAACTGAACCTGAGAAGAAGCGGAGGCACTCGTCTTGGGGGTCTCTCAAGAGCCTTGAAGATCGTTTGGGGTGTTAATTTCGTGTGTACAAAGGTCAATATTAAAATGAAAAAAAAAAAGATGTTTCTGTTAGGTAGTTCTGTGTGGCTTCTTGGATATCACAACTCCTGGACTTTATATCCCAGCACTTTGTCTTCATATCCCAGCACTTTGGCTTCATATTCCAGCACTTTGGCCTCATATCACAGCTCTTAAATTGGTCTCATATTTCAGCTTCTTGGCCATATCCCCTCTTCTTGTCCTCATATTTCAGCTCCTTTTCTTTGTATCGCTCACATCCTGAGTCGCAGTCTAACCGCCCAGGGTTCGTTTCCCGGACTTGGCAGAAACAAATTGCCAGAGTTTCTTTTACTTGATGCCTCTGTTCTGACTTTTGCTGGTGTAGATTATGCTGCTGAAGTTATCTTATTTATACCAGCCTCCGGAATTAAGCTTCGTATTATGTCCACTCTCTGGTCTTTTTTTCTTGTAGGTAAAGGGAGGTAGTTTCCATTCACTGTGTACTCTCCCTTTGGTCTGTCGTCTCTTCTCATGTCCATCACTTTCACTTCCTGGTATTGAACTTCAGTAGCTATTTCTCGGACGAACTCTGAACTTTGTCTTAGATATCTTGGAGAATATTACTGTCCTAATCTGTCACAGATATTAGTTTTGCATCGTAAGCAAATTATTATTTTTAATAAATAAATTCACGAGGGGAGTTGAAAAATTAACTCTCCAAAGTTCATTTTCACGATTAATATGGTCTGACGCCAAGGGATGCGTTTTGCAAGGCACTCCTTACATTTTCAAAATTTACAAATTTACAGTGCTTTAGCAAAAGCTTATTTTCTCTTGAGGTGAGATGGTACAGGACGTGATTGAGATGAACAAGTGGATGAAACATAATGGATATTAATGGTAGGCATCCGTCAATCCCGTGGTGTTATGGAGTTGTGCCGTGTGTGTTCAGTTGGATGCAGCATCTTCTGTGACTGTGAACTCCAACCCGTGAACGGCAGTCCCGACCGCAGCAAGTGCAGATAAACAGCGAAACGGCTGCGTCCGTCAGTGGTCGAGACTTCTTCTGAAGTCTCTTTACCCCCGCCTGCCTTTTCAGGTCACCCTCGTATTGCTGGAGTCCCTTCTGCACTTTCCATCTCCTGGCAGATCTGTCTGCAGCTGTCGCCTCCCAAGTGTTGATGTCGATGTTCAGCTGCTTGAGGTCTTGTTTGCAGACGTCTTTGAAACGCAGCTGGGATCTTCTGGTGGGCCTCTTTCCTGATGCCAGTTCTCCATATAAGAGGGCCTTCGGTAGACGGCCATCTTCCATGCGTGTGACATGTCCCAACTGTTGCTGGAACACATTGCATCTTCCGCGCGTCTCTACTTCAGGAGAGTGAACATTGAAGGGACTCCTGTTCTCTCGAGCACTATGTTGTTGGTGACGTGGTCTCTCCACGTGATTTAT